GCCAGCAACTACGGAATATGTCTCCAAGTCACTACACAAATCTAATACGCTCTCCGATTCTGGAAAGGCGACGACAGCATGGCGCATCGCCACGAAGTTTACTCAGGCGAGGAATTACTGAACACGTTTTAAAGGAGGATTGCACGGAAAGAACGAAGGTCGAAGAAGGGAGAAATCGCCTAGTGGGGAGAGCGGTGAATCTCTTGAGGGTGCGGACAGACACGCAATCGGCATCGAAAGATTTGACCTCTGAGATCTAGCATGGCTCAAAGTTGGCGAGTTCGGCGATCTCCGCCCACCGATCGTCTGATCACTCGCCGTAGTACAATAGGTGGCGAGTGATTAGATAGCTGAGAGAGCGTAGGGTTGAAGAGGGCAAAGCGATGAGAGTCCCATCAATGCTCAAATCAACGGACAAGGAAGGGGTCCCATTTCTCCGGTTCTGGGCCGTTTTTCGTGGTTTCGCTTTCTTTCTGGTACTACTCACCATCTCTACCTCAATTTGGAATGGGTTGCTTTTCCATCGTAAATTCGTCCTTTAAGAAGAGCCCACTCAACTAACACAGATCCTGGTACGTAAGCCTAAATTACGGAGCCTCATTGAACACTGGTTTTCTCGAAAGGCCTGCGTCAAATAACACCGTCTATTTTGTAGGTATCAGAGAGAATAATATACATGTAACACACCTTTTTATATCACTCACCTATCGGTCGAACATTTGCCAGCTGGTCTAGCACCTTATTCGATGCTATCTGGAAAGGTCCACAGTCGTACTCCTTGGCCAACTCCATTCGAGTGTTATCCAGCATCCGTCGGAGTTCTTCTACCTGATATGTACGAGCTCGTGTAAAATTGTTGGAAAGCTTATAAACACTCACAAGTGGAATGTTGGGAAGAGTATCACCAGATTGTGTCTGAAGTGAAGGATAGGCTCTCGCTGACAAGTACTTCCGCAATCGAATGGGTCCCAGTACCCTTCTGATAATAGTCCCACTAATATCACGAAAATAGCAATCGATAATGCATTTTCTAGGAATAAGGAATCCGCTAGACTGCTCATTGTACAAAACACACACCGTTTTGATTCGTCCTCCACTGCTGCTGACGCAGATCCGCCAGCTACCGTAACTTTATTCTTTGCCGCAGACGCTCCCAAAAGGAAGAGGAGACGCTTCGATCATCAATGACTGAAAGAACCAATATCAAGTCCCGGTTCATGCTGTATTGCTTGCACCGATAGGTTCCCCTACCTCGACGTTGCTCATATACCATTTTCTCGCCTTGTCGGACAAATTCACACAGGCTCCGTACGCCATGTCTCCTCTCTTAACTTCAATCAACCAACCATGTATACGCAGTTGCGCGCCTAGAAAGAATATATACTTGATAAACGTGAAGCAGCACTTCACGTTCACCAGCCCTATTTTTGCGCCAGGCATCCGTCTTCAACTGGAAATCGTGGAAGCACATGAATGCGAATCAGACTGAAACACGACTTACGAAGTCTTAAGCCATTTATGAGGAAAAAACGATCTCGGATTAGTGATTTGCTCACCTAGCGGGACCCGATAAAGGAGCCTTTGCAATGGCAGCGGCCTCCTGTCACTGTGACTTTTCCAAAAATCATTCAAAACATTTTCGTAAAAGTACAGGCTGCTATTATTCAACCGAACGATCCTTCCCGAGGGAGATTTAGGTCCGCAAACGCAGACATAGTGCTACCTTTGCGACTAGAAAGTGCACGAAAAAGGAGCAGGGGGTCGCTTGGCTGCAAGTGGCTGTGCCACGTCCCTAACAAGCGGGATGTCTGCGTCTTGCTCACGCTATGCTATTTCGTCTTTTATCTCTCCCCTGCGCACAGTGTCTCTTCGCCACAGTTCGCAAAAACAAGTTCTTAATTTCGTGATTTCAGAGGTTTTTGTTTCACTGGCCATCCCTTTTGCAGTTCTACCTTCATTTTCGAGCGTACCACTAATTTTAATCGTGAATAAGAACTCCAAAAAAATGGACCGACCTAGAGCTTTCCACCATTTGTCGCTTCTTTCTTTACCAATACCGAAGATCTTCGCATTCGATCCACGAATACGGCTTTTCTCCTTATCCTGTGATACCACTTCTATTAAAACGATGTCAAAAGATTGAGAGGCAAGTATTATATGCCATAGTTGAAATGGCACTCACAGATCCGCGCACAAAGTCCACCGGTTTTGCCAGACCGCTATTGCCTCTGTAGACATCGTCAATCGCATGGAACAACCAACGTGCCTCTTTGCCTACGTCAATACATTTTGATGATGAACTCTGAACAAAATTGGGTAAAACTTTAATGATCTACTTTTGCGAAACCTTACTGGAATACTAGGTTTACATATTCCTACTTACCTGCTGGTTGTTCATCTGCCAGTCGCAATTATCACAACAATCCGCCTGCGGATGCGAAGGAGCCGGTATTGATGTATCGAAATGGCTTAGCAGCAAGCTAAAATACAGATGAGTAGCCAATCAACTTCCCCAAACCGGGTGCGCCTCACATTCAGCTTATATCCATAATCGATAAGAGGCCTTGAAAGGCTGAATTACAAATCGCTAGGTGCATTCAATGTACTAGTGTTTTTATCCTAATAGCGATGTCCAAATCACGGGACATCTTTCTCGTTCTATGGGTTTAGGACTCGATCCACGGGCCACACCTGTAATGGCTGTTCGTTTAAGATCGGTCTTGTGATCGATCCTCGTCGGGTTAATCCCTATTTCTACGGTCAAGTCAGCTGGTGGCAGGCTTGTATATTAATATGGGGTCCCGACAAGAGGTCCGTCACATGGCGAGAAGGCAGAGACGCAGACGGGTCGAGAGAATTGCATCCGTGTTGTGTGATGTGGGACGTACTCGTACATCCAAACGCGAAACTTCCAGACTTGACGCGAAATCACCTGCAGTACGCGCTGCGACTTGTCCGCTGACCCGTCTGCGTCTCTGCCTTTTCGCCTCGCACGGGTCTCCTGTCGGGTACCCGTATTATGAATACACGACCTGAACATAAATGGTGGCTACCTAAGGCACTCCGTAAACCTTTACGCATTGAAGTGACCACACATGTTTGATTTTGGGACCTGATACATGACATATTGAGAACAGATTGATCAATCTCCTATTATTTAATCTTTTATGTTTATCTAGAAAGTTACAGCTTGAAAGTTCGCGATGACCACGTGAAGGGAGGGAATCTTACAAAGTGCTGCCTAAGGTTGGAGACCGACTCTTACTAAGACCTCTAGGTAGAACTGAGTGTCCCCAGCAGGGAACCGTTTTGTCTTTTTGGAATGATTCTAGAGGCAGTGAACACGTTGGCTGGGGCAACACCATTTTGCTGACGTCTCTGAGCGTGGTTGGGGAAGGGAGTTGGGAAGTGTCTCAACACCCGCCCACCCCAAGCACGCTAAGGAGGCCTTGGTCTACCAGTAGCGCCTAGTGGCGTCATCAAAGCCTCTTCACCATCCGGTCATCCCGTTCGCTGGCTTCAAAGAACTAAAGTCACTCTTACACATCTACAATCTCTATGCTAAATACAGTCCCAATAAAGACCATGCGTTGAAGCTCTCGGCACAAAAGAACGTCTCTTTGGAATACGCCGTGCATTCCACTTCCATTCATAATCTCTAAGACACTAGAATGTTATCTGACCTGGGCAGTGACTTAAAGCAACAACCCCGCATCAATTTGGTGGGGAAGCAGTCGATAATGAAATTGTGGATGCCGAGTTGACTGAATATGAAAGAGAAGGAAAGGAAACCGCTGGTAAAGCTTTCAAACACAGCTCCTCCTCTTCCCTCTTGAAATACGGGGTGGGGCGTGACGGCTGGACGAGTTCCCCCCTGGCTTCCACTGACCCTCCATATCTTAACACATTCACGCCGATGGCCGCCCATATGGGCTGCCAACAACATGCGCTCCTGGGACGATGGCAGCCCATATGGGCTGCCAACTGATAATCGCTTGCCAGGCGCTAGGAATGGACAGATAGGTGGGCAAACCTCGTAATCGAGTGTAAAATGCTTTTAAATTCCTTCACGGGGAAAGTGAATAAATGCTCTCTTTTCGTAACCACTATTTGTCGTTCTGATCGAAATCCTACTGTTATATGTTAGATAATCTTTACGCATTGGACATTGCAGAAATTATTTTGTGACATTCATGTTTTTGTTCATTTACAAAACAAAATCTGCGGTTATGTGGTGAGGCGGCGGCGCCCACAAAATCGCGTCCGTCCCACGCGACCGAAAAGTGGAAAAGGGGCGTCGTCGTGAATGTGTTAATGAACCGCTATCTTCGATCCACGATAAGCGTATCCATAGGGAAAGTGAGGTATCCCGTCCATAAGCTCATATTAGCTATCATTTGCTCACTCTGTAAGGCCCTAATGCCACTGTTGCGTTGTTTCCAGCCACGACAATTGCACAACTGTGATATTTGTGAGCTACATTATCCTACCCAAGGGAAGGAAGTTTCGTGATGAACTCATTCGGGTTGTTGTTTCAAGGATGCTGAAACCGATGAACAAGTCAGTGTTTTTAACCCTACCGGACAAGTATGATCCCTCGGAAAGGGAAGGCTTGGTTGGCTAGGTCATGATGTAGTCCATCACGTGGCCCAGGTCCTCAGTATGCGAGACCGGGGTCGCATGCTGCCTGCGCATAATCCTCTCCATAAGCCTTCGTAAGCTACTAGAAAGTCAATAGAGAGGAAGCAGATGAAACTAGTATCTTTATCGAACTATTTAGTTACTGTTTATTGAATATTTAATACTGTATATTCCCATGGTTGTTCAGGTCCAAAGGACATTGAAAGTTACTATCAGGAAATTGGACGCGCAGGACGTGACGGCGATCCAGCCCAGTGTCATGTACTCTGGCACAAAAGGATATAGTGATGAATAGGTATGAACTTTCGTAATCATCGAAACTTTTCAGGTTAAGAGAATTTACGTTCCAGATCACGCGTCAATAGATCTATGAGGGAACCCTACCTTACACATGCCTATGAGATGATTCGCTCTATGGAGGAATTCCTGAATTCGATGCGATGCAGACGCTAGTAAGA